GTGTGTGTGTGTGTGTTTGGAGTAACTACACAGTCAGGAATGTGGCAGGCAGTGCAGAGCAGATCGCTGTGTGTGTAACTAGTAATTACATGCCTGTAATTAGTGTGTAATTAATATAAAATAAGGTTCCACTGTTGTTGAACTTAGAGACAGCCATGTCAAAGCTTTCCCACTGACTGTACACGTTTATTCACATATAATGTGCTTTTTAAACATTTAGTGGGGAATAATTAAGGAACTAAGTGAAGCTGGTGGTTTCTGTAGAAAAGCAGAAAAAGAAAGAAAACCTGAAGATCAGTGACAACATGTGCATCATTTCAGGATCACAAGAGCAGACATGTCTGTACTGGAAAATAAACAAGTGATTTAGTAAAAAAATATTTATTTGAGATCTGTCCCTAAGTAAAGATGAATCAAAGAAGTGCTGAACCAAACCATCCATCCATTCCTGAACCTGCCAATATGCCAGCCAATAGAGTCTATTATGAACCTGAGTACCCCAAAGTGTTATGTTAGAGATGTACAGTATGTCCCCAGTATTTAGAAACTGACATATGTTAACTTGCAACTTGTGGGCAATTTGCATAATTAGCATTAATCACCTATATGGATGATATTTCAGAAACTGCTTGGCCATTTTGGACAATATTAGGGTGGTTTCGGGTTTATTGAGGAAGCTAAATTCATGTCTGACATTTAAAAAAGTGATGTTTAAACTGTGCCCATATTTGAACTCCTAGTGGGCTAATTTTGATTAAGTTTGAGTCCGTTTTGACAATATTTATATGCATAATAGATAACCACAAAATGTATCAAAATTGCCATTTTGTATTTTGAAATGTATACAGCATCCTTAAATAACCCCTAAAACCACTCCTATATCGATATATTGAAATATTGTTCATTTAGGCAATTATGCTTAGTAATGCTAGCATCTTGCAGTTTCTAAATGCTAGGGACCTAGTGTACATTTATAACGTAAAACTTTGGGGTACTCAACATTCCCGGGTTCACGTAAAGCCCTTTCACAGTCGTCAGATCTCCGTACTGTTCACACTACACAACTATCTGCCTTGTAACCAGTCGTGGTTTTCACACTAGGTGACTGATCAGCAGCAGGGGTCACACACTACAAGATCTTTCACAAAGAGTAATCCCACAGTCTGTATAGTGTCAGCTCCTTCCTCACTGTCAAAGACTAAAACAATCTGTTCAAATAGGTCTACGTGTGTGTTTCATCCAATCTGTATGTTTCAGCTAGTTTTCAGGTTTGTCCTGGGCTTAAACAGAGAGACAACCAGTGACACATAATTTATCTCAGGAGTGAGTGGGAGGTAACAGGGCCGGTGAACGGTGCTGGTTTTAAATAGATGAAAAAGATACCCTCCATACCATGAAGGAGTAAGTGTTCAATGTTCACTCATTCATCCAAAGAATCAAGTTCCCCTAACTCTTACTTGATCTTGGCTAATTAAAACACACTGCTAATCTCGCCTGTTGACCTGTCGGATGGATTAAATGTTAGGAGAGTGTTCCCATTGCACACTAACTAAACTGTGGTTTGAGATGTTGCAGGATAATGAAGTACACTCAGAAATACCAGCATGCAAGTAACTTAAGTCAATAGAAACATCCCAATTTGGAAGTTCAAAGGTGGTATAACAGTAGTGTATGAGGATTCAGAGATACTGTTTTATCATTTTTTCAACATGTTCTCACTTTGAAACGTTTTCTATATATGACACTGTATGTAGCCCTTGGCGTCACTTGCTCCGCGGTAAAGTTTGCAACAATAAATATGCAAAGAAAAGAGGCCAAAATACATGTTGTACAGACGTGCCACATTTATTTTGACAGGTCAATTATAATCAACAAAAGCTGATACGGAAGCCATGGTCTTCCAGCACACAGAACTGGATATTTATTTAAAATTTGAAAATGATAGCACCAAAACAAACAGTACATTGATACCTTGCTTTGAGGAATATACGGTAAAACTCTGTCCCAAATAGAAGCAGGTCTCCTTTACTAGCCTGGTGTGGCTACAGGTTTTGACAAATAAAGCAGGTCTTAATTAGAGGCCTGGTCTGGATTTTATAGATGAGGTTCATGGTACTGTACAAAAACCTTTTTTTCATTTAGTTGTCAGCAAATGTCAAAAACAAAAAAACAATGTGTTAGTCCTTCTCAAAATACACCGTCTCTGGCTTTCAGCCCAAAGCCAAATGTATAGTTTCATATTTATAAAAAGGCTCAGTAAATCCTAAAACAGCTGCTCACTGTAGTTTTATAGTTTTAGGAAATAGTGCATTTCTTGGGGACTGTTTTCAGCAGTGGATTAATCCACATTTGGTGCTCTAGTGAGTATTTGGTGCAGCAGGATGGTGTATGTGGGAGTCAAAGTACAGTGTGGCTCATTAATGCACAGAGGAATCAGTGGGAGAGGGATTTCTGTATGCGCCATAGTTTGAACCACATCACAATCCAATATACCCCTTGTTGTTTTGCATACAGGTCCTTGTCATGCACTGCATCATGACTAAAAAAATGAAGGACAGACAGTATTGGAGTAAGAATTCTAGGTGGTCCTCATTGTGTCAGTGAACATTTCTTTGCCGTGTATGTCTCCTGACTGAGTCACGGTGGCCTGGCTTATAGCAGGAAATCATCCACTCTGTCTCCTGCATGACAAACACAGTCACACACACACAC